ATTGCAAATGGCGGCCTTGTTTTTAGAGAAATAAAATTATTTTGCTTTTTATAGCATGACTTTAAACTTTTATTACAAATTATATACAGGTACTCCCCAACTTACGACCACCCTCACTTACGACCTGCCTCAGTCGTACCAAAATTTTTTCAAATTACGTATTTTCGAGTCCCAACGTCAGTGATTGCGCTGTGTACTGACAAAATTTTCGTTTGTAATTCACTTTAAAATGACTGGCAAGGTTAAAAGTGAGAGTTTTGTGGTGCTGAGAAGAATAAGAGACACCCATTTTAGATTTTCTATGTATTATTTAAGCATTTTCGACTTACGCCCTGGATTTGGGTCCCTAACCCCGTCGTAAGTTGGGGAGGAGCTGTATACAGTATCACTCTACGAATGTGGCAGAGTGTATTTCTTGTGTTTTCTCGGAACCAACAACTCGTCCATTCTAAGACACTTTTCTTCTATAGCATTTTTTCTGCTGTTGATTACTTTCACCTAAACCTTACCTTAATTAGACTCAGAAGACTTTTGAGTTGGGGGTCATCAGATCCTTGTCTTCATCATCCACAGGTTGCACTGCCTGGCTGCTCTTTCTCCGACTGAGGGGAAGGTGGGTTCGGCAGGGGGTCTATACCGAGCTGATTGGTTGATTCAAAATCATATCCACCAGTCAATGTCCAAAGAACAACTGTACAAGTCTCAGACTCTAGTGCATATGTTATGAGCATAGTAACCAATAAACGAACACACAGGCGCTCCGAGACAATGGTAACAATAACAAGAGCTTAGAAAAAAATATGAACATTTCCAATAATTTATTGCGATTTTTCTGAAAGAAATGCTATAGAAGAAAAGTGTCATAGAATTGTCTAAACGGATACACCCCATTTCGTCACCAATATCAAATCCGTTCTGTCGCCAATAACGGTTTCGTAATGAAACAGTCGCTGGTATTAGTGACAAATTGTTAGTTATTATTTTACACGAATAGAAATTACACGTTTACAGACGACTCAAGAATTATTGTGTTATTATTATACATGAATATGAATTATTTAATAAAGAAAACTAATAAATAATCGATTAAAACGGTGGTAAATAATCAAAATACAGAACAAATGAAGGTGATTTCTTCTTCTCATCCTCCTCCTCCTCCTCCTTCTTCTCATTCTTATTATCATTCTTCTTCTCACCTCCTCCTTCTCATTCTCATTCTTCAGCACGGGTTGTGGTCAGGCTGTCATGTGATTACTGTAAACAACTGGCAATTATCGATGGAAACGGTTGGCGGTTAATTAAAAACTTTTTTATTATTTGATGTTTTTGATATGCCCAGATTTACTGGGCCACATAGCCTCTTGCATGTTAACAAAAACATTTATTGGTGACTACTATTAGCCAATAGTTAACTAATGTGCATTTTACTTGAATTTTATTTTGGTGGTAAGACTGGTTGAAATTGTCTCATGGCTAACTGGCCAACCTTACCAAAGTTGATATGGGCGCTCTTAACTCTCGTAAGAAGCACACTCGTAGCTGCCGAGTACTGCCACCGACAACACCAAGCTTGCCTTTCAACTCGGCTTGGCTTCTACAAGCTGTATTCAGTTTTGTTCTGGGTGTGGCAAGGAAGTACGATCACGGCAGCAGGCTCTCTCCTGTGATTATTGCCATCAGTGGAGACACAGGAAGTGTGGCACAACCATCACCCAGGATATGTACAGGCAAATAGGCAAACATTTAAAGGAAGGTGGATCATTTGCCCTGCTGCTATTGACCTCCTCTTGGATGAGTCTTCTACTAGTGTTTACAATTCATTCACAGTTAATTTTCCTATTGAGCCAGTTACCCCAGTACAAGAAACATCTCATCAAGATGAACCGATCCCAGAAAACCTTCCGGATGATCAACCAGCTATTTGGGTAATTGTTCCCACTGGTACAAACCGGGGAAAGCTATGATTGCACAACTCTGAGGGTTACACATACACAGTAAGAAAAGAAAAGGAGTCTGTCACGTACTGGACTTGCAGCATCTGCCAGAAGAATAACAAGTGTCCAGCAAGTGTAATTCAGCGAGGGACAACATTTAAGGCAGGTCTAGGCGCTCACAACCACCCTAAACCACCTGGCCTTCTTGCTACAACAAAAGTATCTGTAGCTGTCAAAGAGCAATGTGCACGTGACAACTTCACCTCGGTTGATCAAATAGTTGAAGAGGAATTAACTAGCTACAAACAGAGCCACCCTAATGCCCACCAGTTGCCTAAATCAAGCAGCATTGTCAAACAAGGTAACAGACATCACCAAGCTCAAAGACTACACCACCCAACTCAGCTCAACTTTGAACTCATGTCTGACAGCCTGCCACCTGATTTCATTAGAACAGATAAACAGATATACAATGATGATAACCAGATTACTGTATGCCACATAGTCATGGCCACTGATAATCAGCTTCACCTTTAAGTTCTGCAAGACAGTGGTACAGCAGCCCCCCCAAATTCACGTATTTTTATTTCGCGGTCCTCTATTATTCGCGGATGACACTGGATCTACCCAGCTATGTCTGTGGGTAGTTTTAAAGTTGCCGGCATTTTTGCGGCTGGGACAGGAAGCCATTCATTCTAGAGAGTAATTTCCTCTACCTGTATTGTAAATATGTGTGTGTGTAGACACACATATAAAACACTTGCAATAAATAATAATGGGAAAATCCTCTCACAAATAATCAGAAACAAATTTATTAAAATGTGACAGTCCACCTTCAAGTCCGTGCTTTATTTATTAAAGCACGGACTTGAGGGTAGACTCAAGTTTTTTATAAATTTGTTTCTGATTATTTGTGATGATTTTCCCATTATTATTTATTTGTATGTGTTTTGTGTGTGTGTGTCTACACACACACACATATATACACATTACAATACATGCATACAATCAGAAACAAAGAGAGGAGATTGATGATAATATAGTAATGAATCATACAAAGGAATCTGGTTCACTTTGTTAGTTGATGATGAAGTTTGCTATTTCTCATTATTGCTTTCCAGACGTACAAGTCATTCTGTATACTATACTGTATTGTTACTCTTCCACCCTCTGCACTCTGGACTATTAGAAATACTATATTAAAAGTATAATACAGTCAACCCTCGTTAATTCGGACTAATAGGGGGGAAAGGGTGTCCGTTTTAGCCAATTGTCCGAATTAACCGATTTAGGGGTTAATATTGCATTATATTTCAAAGTCATTGTTTTCGTCACGATTTTATCCCACTTTCCACTGTAATACGTACGTAATTTCAGCAAAAATATTACATTTCCGTGAATGCATTATATCAAGCACAGTATGAATAGAATACCATTGTAATATAACAGTATTTTAACCAAAAACTACTAAAAAAACCAATAACATCTCAAGAACATCGGAAGCTTAGGTAAAGTCTTTTGTTTTCGTCATGTATTTTATCCTATTTTACATTGAAATACATCACGTTTCAGCAAAACTACTATTTATTTCCGAGAATATATTCATTCAGGCGCAGTTTAGGTAAAATATATGTGTGATGTAACAGTTTTTTAACTGAAAACGATTCGAAAAACACGTACCCTCTAGCCCTGTTCAAGCAGAGGACTGGGAGAAGCTGTTTGGTGCTGCAGACGATGACAAGGAAAATGATTTGGATGAATTTTAATGAAAATATTCAGAAATATGGTATCGTAGTATTTATTCAAGTCAATTAGGATAGGATATTAATGTAATACAACAGTTTTTTAACTGAAAACCAATCGAAAAGCAATTACGGTAACATCTTTTGAACGAAAGAAAGCGAAAGTCATTGTTTTCGTCACGATTTTATCCCACTTTCCACTAATACCTACGTCATTTCAGCAAAAATATTACATTTCCGTGAATGCATTATATCAAGCACAGTATGAATAGAATACCATTGTAATATAACAGTATTTTAACCAAAAACTATTAAAAAAACGAATAACTTCTCTAGAACAACGGAAGGTTAGGTAAAGTCTTTTGTTTTCGTCATGTATTTTATCCTATTTTACATTAAAATACATCAAGTTTCAGCAAAACTACTATTTATTTCCGAGAATATATTCATTCAGGCACAGTTAAGGTAAAATATACATGTGATGTAACAGTTTTTTAACTGAAAACGATTCGAAAAACACGTGTACCGTGTAGCTGATACTCAACAGCTGGTGGTGCGTCATGTGTCGTTGTAAACAATAGGAGGTTGAAGTAGATTACCGGGTATTATATTAAGTGTGAAATATCAAAAAGGTTTTTATTACCGGTATTTTTTGTAGATCAATGAGAACTGTGATACCGTATAAGATATGATAAGTTAGCCTGTGCTAAGAACTTCAACATGGACTACTGAAAACACGTTGTAAGGTAATTTAGCCCATTGTAAGTTGGTGAGCTTCATTTGCTGAAGGAACTGCACAACTTTTCATTACAAATTTTACGTTTCCATTGTTTACTGGCAGTAAATGGTAAATATTTTTCATGTCTGAAGCTAAAAGTTGCATCCCTCCCCCACACTAGTGGTGATGTTACATTTGACCAAAAAGACGCTGGTGTTTTATCCCAGCAGTGGGTGGACCAGCATTTTAGCTTAAGGTCCGCGTAGGTAATTTTCCTACACATCTTAAAAAAAAAAAAAAAAAAAGTTCGTTCAGATTTTGTCCCAATTATCCGAAATCCGGATTGAAGGGGTCCGAATTAACGAGGGTCGACTGATACTGTACAGTATAATAGTTGAAAATAAAATAAAAGTGCAATAAAATACTGTATGTTGGAAATAGAATAAAAGTAATAAAATAGTAATACAGTAGAATAAAATTACTGAAGAATAGTTGGAAATCGAATAAAAATTTAATAAAATTATTGGAAATACTGTGCAGTAAAGTGTAATAACATGGCAGAAAATAGAATAAAATGTTTATTAAAAATAATACTTAATGTTTCAGATTTAAAAAATGGTACGATCAAGATCAGCTGCTAAAGCAGCAACTCAGGAGGTGAAGGTCAATGGAGAAGTTTCACCTAAAGTACCCAAAGGGAGAGGTCGTAAACGTGGACTGCCAACAAAGGATTCACCGGAAATAAAAAAAATGAAAAGTAAGTTAGGTATTAACGTTATCAGAAAATTTGATGGGTAACTTGTTCACTGCTACTGTACTGTACAGTATGTGGTTGTCTTATCTCTACCTAAATACCTGTACAATAATTTTTTATAAACATCTTAGTCAAGCATTTGCTTCATGAATGGATAAATAGAGAGGTTAAGGGATCCACAGTGCACTGCAGGATGAGGTGAGAGTATTGTAGGTTCACTCCTCACAACAATGTGACAGTGAGCAAGGGAGCATATGGGCTGTCTCTAGTGGTTACTTACTCATCAGCCCACCTGCTTCCATAAGGCCTCAAACATTCGAGCTACAGTACATAGCAGAGTCTATGTGTGCTAACACTTTTTGCATGAACTTTGAATAACCAACCTGGCCAGTTGCATCTATACTAACTTAAGTTTCACAAAGTGGGAGGGTGGTAGAAATAGGGTCTTCACATAGCTAATTGTGAAATTGCATTAAATGATGTAGCACAAAATGAGGGGCACCTCTATGTTCTTATGCGAGGCTACTCTGCCATTCTTATTTCCTTGTATTTTATTTACATTGCAATATAATTTTATCTCATTCAATTGAATTACAGTAGAACATTAATTTAACGTGAAACAATTTAAAATTAATGATTTAAAGCGACACCCACAATTAAGGATATCGTATTAATTTAAAGCGAATCTTTCCTATTTTGCGCAAATCAAATTTGGCGCGCGTCATATGGAAATACTATTTTAAGTTTCGCGCCTGATGTTTCCCACCAGACGCCTCTCTGGGCACGTTACAAGGCTTCCTCCACCCTCCCACCAGACTCCTCTCTACCAAGGCTGCCTGCCACCCTCCCAAGTTTGCCTCTTGCCACTCTCAAGGCTGCCTGCCACCCCACCAGACGCCTCTCTGGGCACGTTACAAGGCTGCCTGCCACCCTCCCACCAGACGCCTCTCTGGGCACGTTACAAGGCTGCCTGCCACCCTCCCACCAGACGCCTCTCTGGGCACGTTACAAGGCTGCCAGCCACCCTCCCACCAGACGCCTCTCTGGGCACGTTACAAGGCTGCCAGCCACCCTCCCACCAGACGCCTTCCCACACCCTCTCGCATCCTCAGTTCTCGTGCTGACGCTCCTGTGATCGGACATACTGTGTGACACTATCTCCTTCCACCGCGTGCATCAACCATCGCCACTATGTCCAAGAGGCCAGCTACTGCATCATTAACTACCCCAAAGACCAAGAAATCAAGGCAAGCAATTTTACCGGAGCAGAAAAACAAGGTGCTGGAAGCACTTCAGCGTGGAAGTGGTGCTTCAAGTGTGGGGCGCCAATTTGGACTATCGGAGAGCTCTGTCTGCACTATCAAGCTCAACGAGAAGAAAATTAGCATAATACAGTACTACAAAAATAAATGTTTTGTTTATTCTAGGAGATGGGCTGAGGTGCATCTGGGTAGACTCTGAGTCAGGGCAGGGGGGGGGGGGCAGTGATGCAAGGCAGCAGACAGTACAGAACCATGCAGTAACAGTACCATCTAGCTCTCAACTTGACTGCAGGGAGTGCTTGCTCCATATATATTATGCCATATATTTTTATCATATTTATTAGTTAATAAATTTTTTTTTAATATTTTGTGTTTCAAGTACCAAACTAAATTATTCCATTGAAACAACACTTTGATTTAGTGCAAATTCGATTTAAAGCGACCTCTCTTGGAATGTATCTCGCGTTAAATAGATGTTCTACTGTACCATAATTTATTCATATTATTTTCAATACACTGTATTATCATACAATACTTCATATTATATATGTCCTTACATCATCTATACCGTGTTATTTATACAGTACAGTACAGTATTTTTTTTATCATTCGCCATTTATCAGCTTACTAGCCGTTTGGGCTTTTACCTTACTCTATCTTGGTTTGGTTTACAATAATCTCTCATAGCTATACTGTATCAACTTTTTTATCTTGTAGTCCATTTATATTCCAATAACTAACTTACCCCAGTGACCACTGAGATACTGTACCTTTATTGCTCTATGAATGATATTTCATGAAGCAAAATGAAGATTTACAAAGAATGTTGATCTTTTGGGTTTGTCTATTTGCATGCTTAAGAGTTCATAAATTCGAGTCATCTTTGCCAAATTTTTACAGCTGTTCAGCCTTGTCTGTAGCTCATTACAGTACTGTACAGTTTTGATTACCATGGAATAAGGTCACTCAGGGTCCTCACTGAAGCTTACCACATGCTAGGAAGGATCCATCATTATTAACCTACTGCTGTGGTATTTGCTCAGATGACAGCCATTGTAGCTTAAGGGTTCCCAGGGTTCCAAAGCCTCAAGCCTGTCGTGGACATATTCATGAGTCATTCTATCCAGTTTCATTTATAACGGGAAATTCGTTAATAATCGCTCATTTTTGTGTTAAACTTTAATAAATTGTGTATTTTTCTTTTTACATAGTGAAGTTGGAGGCCCCTAACGTGGAGAATGGTGTGGTGTTGACAGTAGGTATGGGTGACATTGGCCAGCTTGGCTTAGGACCAGATGTGGATGAGAAGACTCGGCCAGCTGTTGTGCCTAACCTTACTGACATTGTTGCTATTGCAGCGGGCGGCCTCCACTCCGTCGCCTTGGATAAGGCTGGCAAGGTCTGAATTTTATATTAGATATTTTACTTTTGTTTTTCTATATATTAATTAGTTATAAGTAGAAAATATGCAGTACTGTGTATATACAGCTAGACCCCGACTTACGACTACGTGGACTTACGTCCATTGGTACTTACGACCTGCTTTGACTATATGTCCGTACGGGACATACGACTGCTACCGTCGTGACCAAAAATATTTTCAAATGACGCGCGCATTTTGTATACCGAAACGTTTCCGTCCCGGGCGAGAGGGAGGCACGTCTCGGGTCGCCTCGTGGGTACACTCACTCAGTGGAGCGCTTTGTTTGTGTTTGGCTATCGTATCCTATACTGATCGCGCTGTGAACTTTCGTTATTATCGTATTTAATTGACTTTACAATGACTGGAAAGCGTAAAAGTGAGAGTGCTGGTGGTGCTCCAAGGAAAAGGAGACAGGCAATTACTTTTGAGATGAAACTGAAGATAATAACACAGCATGAGAATGGAAAAACAGTAGCAACAATCTCACGTGACCTAGGTTTCTCACACTCGACTATATCCACTATTCTGAAGGACAAGGAACGTATTCATGAAGTAGTGAAAGGAACAACACCTATAAAGGGAACTATAATATCAAAGAAAAGACAAGGTCCTATCCACGATATGGAAAAATTATTGGTGATATGGATAGAAGACCAGATACAGAAGCGTGTACCCTTAAGCGTTCTAACCATACAGGCTAAAGCAAGAAGCCTGTTCCAAAGCCTGAAGGAGCAGGCAGGAGATGAATGTGAGCAAACCTTTACAGGAAGTCATGGGTAGTTTGATAAGTTTAAAAACGCTACAGTCTACACAATGTTAAGGTGAGTGGAGAGGCAGCTGGTGCCGATGTTGGTGCTGCCGACGCTTTTAAGGAGGAGTTAGATGATGTGATTGTGGAAGGGAATTATTTGCCTGAGCAAATATTCAATGTGGATGAGACTGGATTATTGTGGAAGCGCATGCCTGAGCGGACACACATCCACAAAGAGGCAAAAACAATGCCCGGATTCAAGGCATTCAAGGACAGAATTACACTTCTGTTGGGGGGAATGTTGCTGGTTTCAAGCTAAAGCCCTTCATGATCTATCATTCAGAGAACCCCAGGGCTTTTAAACATGTCAGCAAGCACACACTGCCAGTGTTTTATCGCAGTAACAAGAGAGCCTGGATGATCCTAGTACTGTTTGAGGATTGGTTCATGACTTGTTTCATTCCAAGAGCCAAGGAGTATTGTCTGCAGCAAAGGATTCCATTCAAGATTTTGCCATCTTGGATAATGCTCCGGACACCCACACACACCTGGGCGACATATGCACCCTGATGTTAGGTAGTGTGCATTCACCTAACACTACCTCTATCATCAACCCCATGGATCAAGGTGCTATTAACAACTAAGCGTGTGTTATACTGACCAACCGGCTCAGGCTGTTGCTGCTACTGAAGGTGAAAACACTCAGAGAGTTTTTGGAAGGAGTACAACGTTTTGTCATGTATAAGAACATTAGTACACAGCATGGGATCAGGTTACAAAACATTGCATGAATGGAATATGGAAGAAAATCCTGAAAAAGATATGTGCACAGTTCAAAAGTTTAATGAAAATGAAGTTATTTTGGATATTAGTAACAAGATAGTGGAGTTAGGTAAACAGCTGGAGTTAGAAATTGAAACTGGTGTTGGACAGTTGGTTGAAAGTGTAAGCAAGAAGAGCTCAGTAACGAGGATCTTATTGAACTAGATGCAGAAGAATTGCAGAGGAAAGAGATACAAAATGTGAAGAAGAAAACTGCACCCCCAAAAAAAGTTTCAGTGAAACAAATGGCAGAAGCATTTGCTACAATTAATAAAAGCAATGCAAATGTTTGATGACATGGATCAAAATTATGGCGTTATACTTAAAGTTGACAGAAGCGATCCAAGATACCTTGCTTGCTACTATAGAATTTATAATGAAAGAAAAAGCAAACTGTGCAGTCTGAAATTTGGACATCTATTTCAAAGTCCCCAGTGCTGTCTCCTCATGCCCCCTGGTGTGCTGCCTCTTCACTCCTCAGATGATCCCAATACCTTCAACCAGCAAGTTTTTCACAGTACATAAACCTGTCTGATAAGCGGCATTGATGACCCACACCAGCCCTGTCTCCTCCTCTGCTTCTTCGAAGAATTAATATAGTCTCCATATTATCCTGTAAATGAAAATTATGGGGGCCCACGTGTGCATTCAGCTGACTACATTTAAAAATTAAGTGCTCAGTCACACCAACCCCGTGTGCATTAGTGATACATTTAGGTAAGTGCTCAGTCACACTGTATCCATTCCTCATTATTTATTACTTTTACTGTACTGTATCCATTCCTCATTATTTTTTACATTTAGTGTACTGTATTTCATTGTAGATTTTTTATTTATTTATTTTTTTAAAAATGTTAATTTTTTTTTTTTTTTTTTATCTCGTCGAACTTCGGTTGGGTTCCCTAACCCGTTCGTAAGTCGGTCTAGCTGTATACCTTCTCCTGACTTAAGACCACCCGGACATACTGACATGCTAGCACAAAATTTTTCAAATTACTTACGAGTCCCAACGTCGGTGATTGCTGTATACTGACAAATTTTTGTTTGTAATTCACTTTAAAATGGCTCAAGCTTAAAAGTGAGTTTTGTGGTGCTGAGAAGAAAAAGGCACCCATTTCAGATTTTCTATGTACAGTGGGGTATGCTATATGACGGATCCTACTACGAATATTCCTATAACGAACGGTTTTACCTATCATGAGAATGCTATATAGCTTTAACTCCATGACGGATGAATACAGGACTACTTCACCTGGTATGAATATTGTTGTACGCGACCCCTGGCAAGCGTCCAGGTGCCATCTTCAATCTCATTGTGTAGCCAGTGCACCACTATTATTATTTGAAATTTCGTCTTTTGATGTGAAATAGAGAGTTATTTGGATAAATATTTTTGTTTCTAGAGTGTACAATTGTGACAATAGATAAAGTCCAGCAGTAAAGCTCATGTCTCTTGAATCTAGGAAAAGAAATCATAAAAAAAGCATTGGAACAAGCATTGCGAAACTTAGTGATGAGTATGGGATCTGGCTAAATCGACTATATGTGCGATTTTTAAAGAATAAAGGAGTTGAAAACTGTTTGAAGTGGCTAAGGAATCTCTAGACTTAGCCAAAGCAAGGTGTAATGTGATTGAGGAGGCGGAAAATTTACTCTTAGTGTGGATAAAGGAAAAGAAATGGCAGGTGATAGCATTAGTGAAGCTATAATTTGTGAGAAGGCCAGACAATTGTTTGAGAACCTTAAAGCCAAGACTCCCAGTGCAAGTAGTAGTGATATGCCAGTGTTTAGGGGTGCCAAGGGGTGGTTTACTGGTTTCAGAAGGAGGAAATAAATTACATAGTGTTGTGAGACATGGTGATGCTGCTATTTAGATAAAGGAAGCAGCTTAGGAACACCATTTTTGAATGTTATTAAAGAGGCGACTTTGTTTCTCCTTGAAGTATTCAGCGTGATGAAACTGGACTTTTTGGAAAAAAAATACTTATAAGCTGTACATACATTACCAAGAGGAAGCTGTCCTGGCCGCCGTAATGAAAGACAGGCTTACCCTCCTTCTTTGTGCTTATGCTTCTGGTGACTGCAAAATAAAGCCACTCCTTGTGTACCATGCAGAAAACCCCAGAGCTTTCAAAAACATTAGGAAGACCCGCCTTGGTGTTATGTGGCGGTCAAACCCAAAGGCTTGGGTGACCAGGAATTTATTCTCTGAGTGGGTGATTGAGGTGTTTGGACCCAGTGTTCGGGAATACCTCAGGGAGAATAATCTTCCACTGAAAGCTTTGTTGATGGACAATGCACCAGCCCACCCTCCTAATTTGATGGTTGAATTGCCAGAGGAGTTCAACTTCATCACTGTGCACTTCTTGCCACCCAACACAACACCTCTCATCCAGCCCATGGATCAACAGGTAATTTCTAACTTTAAGAAGCTGTACACAAAGGCACTGTTTAGAAAATGTTTTGCGTCCACTTCTTCCAGTGATGTTAGCTTGAAGGAATTTTGGAAGAGTCACTTCAATATTGCAGATGCTGTTTTTTTAATTACCTCAGCCTGGAAAGAGGTTACTGTGAGGTGTCTTTGTGCTGCTTGGAGGCCATTGTAGCCTGAATGTGTCCTTCAAAGAGACTTTGAAGGCTTCGAACAGTTAGAAGAAGAGGCTGTTGTTCATGAAATTGTGTCTGGGCAATTCCATGGGCCTGGAAGTGGATGATGATGATGTTGAGGAGTTGGTGGAAGAGCACAGTAAGGAACTGTCCACTGAGGAGCTGCTTGAGCTTCACAAAGAACAAACGAGACACTAAAGCGGAGCTTAACTTCTGAGGAGTCAGGGGAGGAGGAGGACAAGGAGGAAAGCCGCATCATTCCAGCCAAAGATCTCAAGGATGCGTTCTTTTGCTGGAGCAAACTGTCCAAACTTGCAGAGGATTATCATCCTGATGTTGGTTCTGTGCAAAAGGCCATCAGTGTGTTTAATGACAATGTTATGAACTACTTTTGGAAGGTCCTGAAATCAAGGTTGAAGCAGCCAACCCTGGATTCCTTCATTACAAAGGTAACAAAAGACCCTACAGACAAAGTGCCTGTGAGACAGTCACCAAAGAGGGCTAGGAAGGATGACTCCTCTCCTTCCACCTCTTCTCCATAATTCTCTCCTCCCCCCTCCCCCTCTGCCTCCTGTCCTGCATGCTGAACAACACTAAGGTAAGATAAAGTACCATATTTTTTACATTTTCCACAGAATTTTTTCAGTGTTAAGTGGTTGTATTTGGGGGCCTGGAACGGATTAATCCTATAACGAACGAATGCTATAACGAACGAGGTTCTAGAACCAATTAGATTCGTTATAGCATACCCCACTGTATTATTTAAGCATTTTCAACTTCCGACCATTTCGACTTATGACCCGGATTTGGGTCGAGGGTTCGAATCCTGGCTGGTGAGGGCGTTGATTATATGTTCAAAGTCCGCGTGTTGTATGGACTAGAAATGAAGTATATATATGGTACCTCGTGTTTCATACCAGCTGGATTCGGTAAAATGCTACTGACACCACATACGAGGCACAGGCAGTTCCCAATGAGGTTCACGGCGCCATCAGCTCGATGAACAGGCTTTGTGTAAAATATAACAGAGTCTAGGGCGGCTTTTAGTGTCCTTCTGGGTTGGTCGGTAGCGTTCCCTAGTCCCACCCAGTTGGTCGTGGGTTCGGATCCTGGCTGGTGAGGTCGTTGATTATATGTTCAAAGTCTGCGTGTTATATGGACTAAAAATGAGAGTGTGTGTGTATATATATACAGCTAGACCCCGACTTACGACGGAGTTAGGGACCCAAATCCAGGTCGTAAGTCCGAATGGTCGTAAGTCCGACATAGATAAAAAATAAATCTACAATGAAATACAGTACACTAAATGTAAAAAATAATGAGGAATGGATACAGTACAGTAAAAGTAATGAATAATGAGGAATGGATACAGTGTGACTGAGCACTTACCTTTAATGTAGTCAGCTGAATGCACATGGGGCCCCCATAATTTTCTAATTACAGTAGTACCCCGATTTACGCGGTCAATTGAACCCACAGGGTACCGCGGAAAGTGAAATCCGCGTAAATGGAACAACAGAACATATGGGATTAATTCCAATAGAGACTGGCCCGACCCCCAAACTCCACTTTTTGACGACACACAACTATGTTGTAGTAAAAATATTATCTTAACTTTATGATGGTATGCACACACAATTAATAATTAAGAGAAATATCAATAATATTAGTTTTTTTAACACTTACATTAGTAGAAAAGATGGCTGGGCACACAGGGATGGGGGGTTGGTTCCGAGGCAGAGGGCAGATTATTGGCCTTCACCTGTATCATTTGTATCAATTGTATCACTATCCACCACATAGGCTTGCAGGGCCTCTTTGTCAAACCCCTCAAAGTCCATATCCTCACTATCACTATCACTAACTTAGGCCGGCTGTGGTGGGTGGCGGTGAAGAACTCGGTAATGTTTTGATGACTGGGCGACCTTGTGCGCATCCTGCCCGCGCCGTTTCCCGCGTATATGAGTAGATGCACCGCGGAAAGTGAAAGTTCGGTTCTGGCGAGGCACTGCATAAATGAGAAATCGTACAAAGTGAAACCGCGTAAAGCGGGGTAATACTGTGTGTGTGTGTGTGTGTGTGTGTGTGTGTGTGTGTGTGTGTGTGTGTATATATATATATATATATATATATATATATATATATATATATATATATATATATATATATAGTAAATCCACAATGAAAACGTGGATAAGATAAATCTTGATAAAATCACACGGGAAAATGGAAACAATCTTAGCTTTCGTCTTTAGTCAAGACATCTTCAGAGGCAACTGGACTACATGGACAGAAAGAGGCTTAAATATACAGGGTATTATTTATTACTATACCTGGTTTTCCCCCCAAAATTTCTCAGAGAGGGAAGAGCCAGCGAGTGTAGTGTGAGAAGAGGGGGAGGGAGTTGAGTCCATTATTTGAATGGACATTAACTTGGCGACTGTATTTCTCTATTTCTCTTAAGTATTAATTGTGTGCATGTACCATCATAAAATTAAGATGTTATTTTTACTAGAACATAGGTATTGTGTTGGAAAAAGTGGAGTTTGGGGGTCAGCTGGTCACTATTTCATTTAATCCCATATGTTATGTTATTCACTTTACGCGTTTCTCACTTTCCGCGGTACCCTATGGGTTATATTAACCGCGTAAAGTGAGGGTTGACTGTATAGAAAAATTTTGATAATTTTGGTAGCCATGATATAAAAAATTCTTTATATAAAGTTGAGATATATCCCAACCCTACTGTAATAAAAAATTATAGTACAGTACTTTTGAAAAAGTAAAGAGTGTACCCCAAAAATTTTACTTGAGTACAGTACTCAAATACATTTATTTAATTACCTTATAACTCTGTGTATGTTATCTAGAAAAATGTTATAGGTGGAAATTTAATGGCTACTGTAATTGCATTTTCAGGTCCACACATGGGGCTGCAATGATGAGGGTGGTTTAGGTCGCCAGACACCCAATGATGAAGCTAACTTCACTAGTGGCTCAGTAGACATTGATGGGAAGGTTGTTCAAATTTCGGCCGGTGATTGTCACACAGCAGCCCTCCTTGAAGATGGCCGGGTGTTTGCTTGGGGATGCTTCAGAGTATGTACAGTACAGTCCTTCTTGGTATCTTTTATGACAGTTATCATGACATTTCTATTGTGGCTCCATTTTCTGCAATGTTAGTAATAGCTATCCCTATGTCTTATCATTCATCAGTGTTGTATCTTGTCACCATTATTGAAATTTGAGCATCATTATTATTCTAATATTGATTATCGCATAATTTTGTTGTTTCTTTGTGTATCAGCTGGGTGGCCATGCAGGTTTAAATAACTTTTTACTGTATTATTTTAATCCCTGTTGCTTAAATCTTCTTAGTAGCTACCAATAGTTCAAGAAAGATTTTGTATGTTCTTTAATGTGAAAGTTGTTCCCTTCTAAACTAGACTGAGGGTAGGATTTGTTTTCATTCTGTCTGGTGGTTTTAAATATTCTGGTTACTAACATATTTCACACCACTATAGTTTATATCCAATAAATACATAATTTGTTAATGCTTAATGAAATACCCGCGAAAAATAATGCACACGGGTGGTTGGAAAATTGAAGAAATCTTGATGTTAATGTAGCCCAAACTTGTGGATTGTGTTGGAGAAAGACACCATAAGGACAGTCTCCTCTTGACAAATATTTCATTGGTTCATTCTTTTGAATAAATAAGACCTCTGATATGTAGTCAGTAATTAATTTTGATATCAACTTCAGCTAAAAAAAAATTCTAATAGTCCTTAAAATTGCAAAATGATTTTGCATTACATAAATTATGTACTGTATATTATTTCAGGATAACAATGGAGCTCTGGGATTATTAGATAAAGGGAGTATACAGAAAACACCAAGACAGCTTCTAGAGGGTGTTCCTATTATAAAGGTCAGTTCTGGCAACAACCACTTGGTACTGCTGGCACATGATGGTCGTGTGTTCACCTGTGGCTGTGGAGAGGCTGGACAGTTGGGCAGGATTGCTGAAGCTTTTGCCAACAGAGATTCTAGAAACCGGAAAGGCATAGGTAAAGGCCCTTCAGTATGAAGTCTGGTTTTTTTAAGTGTACTCAATTTAGTTGCTTGTCCTGAGTAATGTCACTTCCTCCCATCTCTCTCTCCTTTTCTCTTTTCTTCTCCTTTTCCTTTTTTCTTCTTTTCCTTTCTCTCTTTCCTTTTCTCTCTCTTTCTTTCCTTTTCTCTTTTTCTTTCCTTTGCTCCTTTCTTCTTTCCTTTTCTCTCTTCATCTCTGCTATGTTGATCTTTTTTCCTCTTCTTTCTCTTCCACTTCTCTCTTTCTCTCTCATGATTTTTGCTCAGTTTTGTTTTATTTTGTATTTCCTATGCTTTGATGTGTTAGATTTGACAGAAAATCACATAATCATGGATGATAGTAACGAATGTTTTTTATTGTAGCTGTGTTGCAGATTTATTCTCAAAAACCACAAGGTCACTTTCCCTTTCTTGTCACTGGCAAATGGGGGGGGGGGTGATGATAGCAGCTGTGTTTATTACCTGGGTATATTGTTCTTTTACGGTATGTTAGACAGGTTTATAGTACATTTTTATTATTTTAATATACCGGTAATCTTCATTTTAATCCAGCTTCCCAAACGTAAGTTTCAGTATGAAATAATTAGTGGTAGGACCTTGTGAGTCGTTTACTGTATACATAAATATTACATAAATTATTTCTGCAATTCTTCACAAACAAAACACACAACTCAATTGAACATGTGATGTCGAACGTGAACTGTAAACACTGCATAACCCTGCGCCAAGCCAAGCCATAACAACCGTTCAAGTGGAATCGACGTTAGAGCAAACGCGTTCGCATTTTACAAATATTGTTCCTCTATTCATCATTCGCGTTAGAGCCAATTCACGTTGTCAAAACACGCATTATAGCAGAACTCACTGTACACCATTTTTACCAAAATGGTCCTAAAAGTTTGGTTAAATAAATGGCAGGGAGTATTTAAGAAACTTTTATGTGGATTTTCCTCCTGTAGTCATAGTTTTCTTAATATATACACTACCAGTAAATGTGAGGAATAAATAAGAATAATACCAACAAATAATTTACAACAAAAAATACTGTATTGCCAAACCAGTAAATAAAAACCAAATGCAAGTTTAACACAGTCGCCATTTGCATATATAGGGGGGTGTCCCCCAAATTCGCGGGGGTTAGGTTCTCAAAATGACCGCGAATCGCCAAATCCGCGAATAACATTTGCTGGCTGGTGGGAGGAGGTGGTACATTTTTACTTGTGTACAAAGAAATGTACAGTCGACCCTCGTTAATTCGGACCCCTTTAATCCGGATTTCGGATAAATCGGACGAAATCTGAACTGTCCATATCAAATTTCTGGTTCTGGGATTGTCCCAGTTGCAATTGGGGTTGCAATTTCAAATTCTGTGTCACTATTAAGAAATAACAAAGTCCCTGGTGCACTCTAAGATTAAGAGAAAATGGACGACTCAGGAGTGCTGAAGTGAGAGAAAACGAACTCCTATGACGGGGCACTCAAATAAAGAGACATAGCTACATGTTTTGTGGACTAGCCACTGTACAGTATCCTTTTCATCACTTTGTAATAAACCTCGTTATGCCTATGTGTTTCTGATAATTACCATAACATTATATATTTATATATTTAGCGGTTGTACAAACACAAGGCCTCACACATGCCATTCAGACTGACAGACTTGACAAGTTTTACCAACCATAAAGACAGTTGAAGCTTTAAACATCACTCACAATGGATCTTGAATATTCCAACTGTAATCAGACATACCTAAGTTGCCTCAACAATTGCAACCCCAGTTGCAATATCAAATTCTGTGTCACTACTAAGATGTAACAGTCTCTGGTGCACTCTAAGATAAAGAGAAAACGGATGACTCAGGAGTGCTGAAGTGAGAGAAAACGGACTCCTATGACGGGGCACTCAAATGAACATACACACAGCTGTATAATGCAATATTAACCCCTAAATCGGTTAATTCGGACAATCGGCTAAAACGGACACCCTTCCCCCCCTATTAGTCCGTTTTAACGAGGGTCGACTGTACAGTATATTCCCTTTATGTAGTTGCCCTTAGGACAATTATTTCTTTTACCTGTATTGTATATATATGTGTGTGTGTGTGTAGACAGACACACACAAATAAATAATAATGGGAAAATTACTCTCACAAATAATCAGAAACAAATTTATTAAAAATGTGACATACCCAAAGTGATGCCGAACATTACCTAATTCGGCCAAAGCTCGACCCAGGCAGGTGTGAGGCGTCAGTTGTGTCTCAGCAGAATATAACTAGCATTGCTGGAATCCTTGCAAGACAGCGAATAATTTGAATATAGACATCATATATTTTGCACAAGAGATAAAAGTTTAGCCCTTTAGGTACAATTAGGAGAAGTTTCTCAACTCATATTACGTAACTTTCTTCATTTATTTTTACTAACTTACATGCACACACCATCCTAAATACATATTGTGAAAAAAGAAAAAGAAATAATTATCCTATGGACAAACCTGTACAGGGTTTGCGACTTTATGCGAAACAACGTTAAGCGGATCAATTTTCCCCATAAGAAATAGATAAAATATGGGAGTTAAATTCCCCAGCCTCTCTTTGCCCTATGAAAAAAGTTGCATATACAGAAAATCATTGCCATATCTATAGAAAATAGTATACAGTATAGATACAGTACTAAGTTTGTATTGGTACTCACCGATGGGCGGGGGTGGTAGAGCGAGTGTGTGATGGGTAGTGGAGCGAAGGAGGAGGGTAGTGAGTCTTTTGAGACTCTGCGGCTGCTTCCTCCTCCTGCTCTGAATGGGGTTCCTCCACCGCTGCTTGCTCCTCCATTGTTGGCGGGAATGTCTCTGCAGCAACCATATCTGACAGTCATCTTTATGTTGTGGAAGTTATACCGACGCTTAAATCGTTGAAACCAGCCTCGGTTGGCCATAAAGGTCTCTTCCTTCAATCCTTCACCCTCTGTATCCTTCATGTCGTCAAACAAGGATCTGGCCTTCTGCTGGATAACCATAAGGCTCACAGGGGCATTGTGTTGATTCTGGTCCTCCATCCACATTGCCAACATCATTTCCACCTTCTCTATCACAATGCTTCTCGTACGAGTCGTCTTAGTAGCACTTAGAGAAGAACCACTTCCAGCACTAACCTTAATCTTGTCAGCGTTGGTCCGAATAGTACGCACCATTGTGGGGTAGACCAAGCGCAGCGGCTATGTCCACAGCACGTTCCCCTTTTTCAAATCGGGTTAATATATTCATTTTCGTAGCAAGGGTAATGGTCTTACGTTGCCTCTTCACTACACTAGCATCAGTAGCACTTGATGCGTGCTTGGAAGCCATTTCGAATGGTTAGAGTACAGTTTTAGAGCAAAAGCACTTAAGGGAAGCGTCTGGTTGAGATACAAGGGGCCTTAAATATTGGCCGAATGCTTTGATATTCCTGTCACTAATTAGGGACATTAGGTCAATTCTAGCCCCCAAACACCCTCCTCTGCCCCCTTCATTTTTGGCCCCTTTTCACCCCTTCATTATTATTTGCTCCACTGTCTTGAAATTTATATGGTTTAGAGAATCCATGGTGTCCTTCAGTATGATAGGAAATAAGTTTATTTTTTGCTTTGACTTAGGTCTACAAATTTTTTGAAAATCACATGCCATTTTCTTGAATGGCATGTGATTTTCAACGAATTTTTAGTTTCTAAAGTTCAGCGACAGTACTGAAACAACGTTCAGCAGGATGACGTTAAGCGAGGACTTACTGTACTGTACTCAGATGTACTGAATGATTACTAAATTTTTTATGTCTAGTGCACCCAACCTTCATCACAAGTGTTAAGACATGATAAGTTATGTATTACAGTCAGTTGAGTGAAGTGTCTGCTAAGATGACAGGATCTGCTGGAGTACAATATATACAGTACACATGAACACTTGCCAACAGTGCGTAACAGAGACGTGACCGATCGCCCAAGCAACTAATGAGACGATCAGTGGTGAAGAGGATAAAAGTAATACAGCTCTATTTATTCCTTTATCATATAGAGCCTTTCTTTTTTCTTTTTTTTTTACCCAACTTTAAGATAAAGTATTAAGGAGTATTTTGATAAAAAATAGTGTAATGAAATAAGAACTGATTTTACTGACTCCGGTATCAACATTTCTTACGTTTTTTAATAAAAGAATGGAATTCCCATCACTGTATCATATAGAAATATTTTGTTTAACCCTTTCACAGCGGGAGGTTACCCTAAGCTGAATAAAATCGTCTGGGGGTAGCCAGAATAAAATGGCAAGTGCGTGACATGCGGAGAAAGGGTTCAGGATATCTTATTGGAAACGTTTCATAGAGAATTTAATTATGTATCATATGGTATCAAATTCATCTCCCTATCACAATTAGCCATGCTTGAGTGAGGAAGGGGGAGGCTGACCATGCAACCCAACCCCCCAAAAAGGTTCGCTTCAGTCAACACACACTAACACCACCCACACATACACCTTTACATCACACACAAACACACCACCCACACACACCCCAACTCACACACAAACACACACACATTCCAACACCACTCACACACCCTCAGCAATGGAATTAAGACAGCAAGCATAAGGAGTGAAGGTCTTATTGTATGGCACTTCTGTGTGTGTGTGACTGCATGGTTGTGAGTTAAATATCAGCTGTTGAGGAGCTCTTGGCAACACTCATTTCCACTCCATCTCTCTAATCACCCACACCTTTCTGCTGTCTCACTCCATATTTTAAAATGTTATGTAACGTAATGTTGAAGGGATACAACTTTGCTCATTTATACTTATATCTGTGTGGTCTCTCTGAAAATACTTTAGGTTTCGTGTTTATTCAAGACATCTTCAGGTCATGATATAAAGGCGGGGGTTTTCTTTTTCGTGTTTTCTTTTCTTACGTTTTTTTACCCCATTGTGGTTAACTTTTAAACTCTAACAACTG